TAAAATCAACGTTGGGTTTAAAAAGAAAATGATATATTTGCCAATTTCTCAACTGATACAAGTGAATGATTTAGGATTATTCCTTAACATGGTAGAACTGTGGGCCATGTATTTTAAGGCTTGATTTTATCATATTGTAAACATGACTTAAACAAATGCAATTATTCCTTTAAACTATAAGACAAGAAACTATATTTTCGGGTGCAATTTAATCAGTCAATCATACATCAACAGCACACATACGACCGCCTTGATTATCTCAATAGGAGAAGGGGGGTTGGATGGCCGAACGGTTAGCACTTGCGCGCTGTATCATAAGGTCTGTCATTGAGTTAACTGGTGTGGTTTCGATTCCCCGGTTGTACGTGACAAGGAGTAGGGTCGCCTGCCCAACCTTGTGGGGTTTCTCCGGGTCCCCAGTTGTACATGACAATCGCCTGTCTAACCTCGTGGGCTTTCTCCGGATTCATCCCAATGCTAAAGACCCCTACGTACAAGCGAATTATTGAAATAAAATTGAATCATGTGTTAATCCCGAAATGACCTAGCTCAATAGGAGAACAAATCTAAGACAGCAAGACATTATAAACCATATTTCATTTCATGCGACCCAATCTGGGTGGTAAAGACAACCATTGCAGGAACGGGTACAGTTCTGACCAGAATTATGAGAAATTACAACGAAACAGAGTATTGATAATACACACCGGGTCTGTACGCAGTTTACGTCAGTGTGTATTCTGTTTTTCTTTTACTCCAGAAACTATACACAGGGGTGGGGAATTTTTTTTCAAGAAGCCGACCTCCGTCCTAAAATAGCTGGTCATCTGATGCTAGACAGTGTACAGAATCTCACTCCTAGAAACCTTTTCTCGGACATTCTGGGAGGTTTTCTCGTCCCACACAACGATACCTTGAATTTCCGACCATGAAGTTTAAAGTCACATATTTTAAAAAGATACTAAGGTCGAAATCTTTAATTGTATATAACTTGTCATTTCATTTTTGTATTTTAAATATTTATATGCATAAAAGATTTATTTTATTTTTAATATTATTTACAGTGATATTGTTTTTATTTATCCATATATTTTTATGTCATATAAGGGGGGTTGGATGGACGAATGGTTAGCACGTGCGCGCTGTATCATACAGTCGGTCATTGAGTCAACTGGTGTGGTTTCGATTCCCCGGTTGTACGTGACAAGGAGTAGGGTCGCCTGCCCAACCTTGTGGGGTTTCTCCGGGTCCCCCGGCTTCCTCCCACTGCTAAAGACCCCTACGCACAAGCGAATTATTGAAATAAAATTGAACCATGTGTTAGTCCCGAAATGACCTAGTTTGTGTCGAGTGGACGTTAAACTCAATCTCTCTCTCTCTCTCTCTCTCTCTCTCTCTCTCTCTCTGTGATATAATTTAGCCTGTCTCGAATAAATCACCATATGTTGGGCGCAATATTCTAGTACGGTTGATGCTGACGTGCCATTAAACCACATTTCATTCATTCATTAAAAAGGTGCTACCTAGTGTTAATAGGACCAAATTAGATGGGTTTAAAAAACTATATGACCTATATATACATGTACCATATTCAGTACAGTCAAGGTTTTCATCTGTGGAGTAAGTGAGTTCTATCCAATTTTACACTATCACGATCAGCCCTACGATTAAAATCGTGGTTTTAATCTTAGAGTTATCGTGGTGATGCTATCAGGTCTTATCATATATTGTGGCCAGTCGTAGCTATCGTGTTGATCGTATCCAAACGTATCCGAACGTATCGGCACGTACCAGATCGTGGACTTAATAGGGAAATCCTATCGTAACGAATCGCGCGACAGTGGGAACCTAGCAATATTGTTTCGTGATTCACGATTTCGTGATTTGACATTGGCATACAGTGTGGTTGATTTATTGTGAAAAAAAATAAAATGATTATTCAACACAAATGACGATCTAGAGAGAGGCTAACAACCCAATCATGTTCCTTAACCTTTGGAATTTGACGCTGTTTGATGGCTTCGGGGGGAAAAGACCATTCACATTTTACACAGATAACAATTTTCACAGAGTTGTCAAATTCTCTTTGAAAACCCCAGAGATAACTGACTTTGACAACAAAAAGAACTCAGTTGCAATGGATCTTAATTCCAATATAACTAAAACCAAATTATGTCGGAGAATTAACATGGCATGTCCTATCTCAAACAAAATACAGTGCAGTTCTTGCATTCAAATATACATAAAACATCGTGCACACCAGTTTTGCGAGAAAAAAAATAATTTGATTTTGTAAACTGATTTTCGTGTTTCAATTCCGAAGCTTTTCTCTAACTTGAAACTAATAACATGAAACCATTTCTTTTAGATGTCCTGGTTCAATCACATTTCCTTCCTGTACAACCCATAATTGATATCTGTCGTCAGAAAAAGCCCCAAGAAACACGAAATCAAAATTGGCAGATACAGTTAAATAGAAAACTATACATGTTTAGATGAGTATAAATCAGACCAGGAATTACGGCTATTGAAAAAAATCAACAATTTAATTTCCTCGATCGATTCCCCTTTGGTCTGATGTGTCAGTAACATTTACCCAGCGGTGTTTATCAATAGGTTCTATGTATTTAATACTGATCGACGCTCTGTTCTTGAGATGCTTGGGTTGACGTGAACCACCTGCACACGCGCTATAGATCTATCAATAAGAGTCTACAGATTCCGTTCTTCTATAATTTATATATTCCATAGAAGCGGGGAGAGAGAGAGAGAGAGAGAGAGAGAGAGAGAGGGGGGGATCTTTAGCATAAATTATTTCAATGGCATTTAATGACTGAAGAAGCCTAGTCCAAATCGTTCAGTTATAAGTAGTAATTGTATTCCCTAAAATTGTGACCCGGGTCTTTAGCAGTGTGAGCAAACCGAAGAACCCGTAGAAAACCCACGAGGTTGGACAGGCGACCCTACTCCTTGTCACGTACAACAGGGGAATCCAAACAACGCCAGTTGACTCAATGACGGACCTTATGATACAGCGCGCACGCGTTAACCATTCGGCCATCCACCCCCCCCCCCCCTAGAAACGATGAAAGCATGACTCTTAAACCCTTAAATGACTTGTATTTGAGCAGTTAATAGGATATTCTATGTTCATGCTACATGTAATTTCTCCGAAATGGTTCGGGAAATAAAAGAAACTTAGCCCAATTTGAGATTGGTCTTAAATGTTCTATTGTCACATATGCAAGGCCGGAGAGATATAACTCGGTCCAGAAAGCAGCATTCTCATCAACACCTTTATGTATTTCAACTATGTATTTCTACATATACTGCTTACATATTCTATAGGTTATTTTACGTATACGCCAATGTGTAAAAGTTGTGCACGTAAAAGAACCTTGACAGCTGAAATTCGATATAGGAGCAGGCCGTTACTCCGCTGGCTGCGCAAAATTTCTATCTTAGCACACTGTGTGGCGTACGCCCGTCTTTATAAGCCCAGCAGAAAATTTGTAATTTGGACTTATTCTGATTTTGAGAAATTATTGCACAATATGGCTAATTTGGGAATGAAATACCATTTGCAACAACATTACAATAGATTTTCCATAACATTTTCTCATACAATACATCAAATGATGAAATGATAGAAATGAATATATTCATATCTGATGTTTTAATCTAATTACATATGTAGGATAAAGCACGAAACTGAGGTTATGCTGGGGAAAGATAAACTAAAGAAAAATAACTCGAGAAAAAGAAAAACCGAGGTCGGAGAAACCCCGCGAGGTTGGACAGGTGACTATACTCCTTGTCACGTACAACCGGGGAATCGAAACTCCGCTTGTTGACTCAATAACAAACCTTATGATACAGCGCGCACCCCCCTAAAATTCAAAGATACAATTTTCTTCATAGTAAGTTGATAAACACAAAATGATTAAAGATACATTATGTAAGATTTAGATAAAGAGCTAGCTATTCTTGCTATAATATTTCAAAAATAGATAATGTAAAATGAATAATTTGAAAATTTCATTCAAATTACTAGCCTTTACTTTGATGGTTTAACCAGACGTGTGCAATAATTTCAACCACCGTACTGGTTGTTCAAAACTAAGTCTCGCTCCTCCATTTTTAGCTTAAATCAAAATATGGCTGAACTGTTCTAATCTATTTAATATCGGAGAAATCCGATACCATTGAGGGTTGATTATGGCCTGGATAAGTTAATTAAGGTCTAATTAATAATTTAGATAACATTTCATGCCTAAAGAAAGACCTGCAATAGGCAGATTTAGCTCTTGCATAATGTAATGTTTAACTTTTCGCGTTTGGTAAATTTATTGTTGTTGTAAAAATGTTATCTATTGGGTCCTAAAATCACCGATAAGAATGTTTATTTTGTAAATATCTGCTCAAAGTATTGCAAAATATCAACAAGGAAAGATATGTTAGAGATATGTAATGTTAACACAATATATCCAAAATGTTTTTTTTAAAATACTGTGAGCGATATTGGCAAACAGAAAACAGTATCGTCGGTCTTTGTCAGTGAGGAGGGTCACGGTGGCTAAGGGGGTAAGACTGGAGATCGGGTGTTCGATCCTTACATTGGCCGAGAAAGTTCATCAGATTTTCCGTCATGGTCCCCTCTTGTCAGTGATGAAGGACAGATGTCCAGTCGTTCGGATGGGAGGAAAAGCATATATAGGAGTGCACGTAAAAGATCCCTTGGCAGTTGGAATTCGATATAAGAGTAGGCCGTAGTGCCGCTGTCCGGGCAACACTTCCCTCATAGCACACTGTATGGCGTATGCCCGTCTTCATTAGCCCAGTTCAGGACAGAACAGTAGGACGTTAAACCCCATTTCATTTCATTTCATTTAACTTTGTCAGTGATTAATAGGACCCTATCTTTTTGATAAATGAAATACTGTATGATTAATATTCCTAATTTGCAAAAATATATTGGTGCTGCAAACATCCATTCTTACCTGTTGGCTATTTCTTCCTCCGATCCAGAAGCTTGTCGGAAATTCGGTGGCCAATTTCTTGGACTTTGAGTGGAACACCTGGACTCTTTCCTGGGTCGCGGTGCATGCGAAGCTGATAACGTAGTTGACAAACTCATTTTTGCGTTTGACGAATTCTTAAATCCGAATGTTTGTCGGTCTGTTTAAATCCGGAACTTCTTAAGATATCTAAATAATTATAAATGTCGATCATCGAAACAAACCAACGCGGTTTTCTTTAGTAGAGTAATCACAGTCAGTAAGCACACTGTTACATAGAAACTAACCACAGAATAATACCAATGATTCGAGAGTTACAGGAATTAATGGAATCGTGTCTCGCGCGCTGTCCAAACCTATCGTCTGCTAAACTAAGTATCGGTCGTTTAGTTAGAATTCCAGCACGCGTGATTTCGCTTCAGTTGTCTTCAGACGAACAGCTTATTTCCCTATGATTCCCAGTGATCATAAAATTTCAATACATTACTCGAAGCACAGATTGTTTTCTCAGTCGAATGCTTAAAAATGAATACAAATAACAATTGTCTAGGATTGCATTCAGAACAGCTGAGAAAGCCAATGACCGTATATTTTAAGTATATGTTTAAACTATGTCGGAGACAGAGAGAAATGGGGTTTAACGTCCACTCGACACAAACTAGGTCATTTCGGGACTAACACATGGTTAAATTTTATTTCAATATTTCGCACGTGCTAACCATTCGGCCATCCAACCTCCTAACTATATCGATGCGAGCGGCATGGAAAGAACTGGTACATGTTTTAACTATTTTGGTACATGTGGCATGGAAAGAATTAGTGAACGTTTTAACTGTTTCATTGCGCGTGGCATGGAAAGGACTAGTGAACTTTTAACTATGCCATTGCGCGTGACATGAAAAGAACTTACTAGTAAACGTTTTAAATATGTCGGTGCGCGTGGCATTGAAAAAGAACTAGTAAACGTTTTAACTATGTTGGTGCGTGTGACATGGAAGAACTAGTGAACGATTTAACTATGTTCGTGCGTGTGACATGGAAGGACTAGTGCATGTGTTAGATATGTCCGTGCGTGTGGCATGTTAAAAAACTAGTACCTTTTTACTTTCTGTATTTTAAGCAACTAAGACAAAGCTACGACGAATATTCCCTATTTGAATTTAAAATGCATGGTTTTCAAGTCTTTATCATATTATGGATTGTCAATCCATCAATTGTCATTCTTAACCTAATGGCAAATCCATTATTCATCATGTTTTTTGGCAGTATTTATATCCAAACCAGCGACCCATTTTTGTACCTTGTAGTCCCAATCTACAAGGCATTGTCCAAATGTCCGCATGACCAGTACGCCCCTGTTTTTTTTACCACATGCTTACAAAGATGTTTGTTGAAATGATACGAAATGGGGTTTAGCGACCTACCTCGCTGCACTGACTGAGATAGTGTAAAAGGACATACGTCATACAGTGTTGAGACACGGTGGTTGAGTGGGTAAGACGCTGGCTCCCTAGCCTGGAGGTCGCGTATTCGATCCCTACATTGGCCGAGAAAGTTCATCGGGGCTTTCCGACGTTATTTGCCCTTGTCAGTGGTGCAGGGCAGATGGCCTGACAAGGACAGCTGTCTAGTCGTTCGGATGGGACGAAATACTGTTTTCAAGTGTATACATTTGCATGTACGTAAAAGATCCCTTGGTAGTTAGAATTCGATATAAGAGTAGGCAATAGTGCCGCTGCCCTGGCAAAATTTCCATCATAGCCAACTGTATTTCGTATGCCCGTCTTCATTAGCCAGTCGGAGCAGAACAGTAGGACGTTAAACCTCATTTGGTATACAGTGTGCTATAAAGAACATTTCCTCTGGACATGAACTTGTCGTCCCCTCCGAACGACTAGACACTTTCCTTGCCAGGGGAACCCACACTGGGTAGTTTGTTAATTCATGAAATAAATACTGTAATTACATACTGACCTACTTTTCGGATGAATTTTCTACAAGTAATAATTTCACATCTACATATGGAACTAGATCATTGTCGTTAAGGAGAGGAAATTAAGTCAGTTTTCTTTCTAAGACAAGACAAGCGTAAAATTATGGGAAATAGAAGATAGCCATTACATGAATTTATGGTTATTATTATAGTATAGAATAGAATTAAATGGTCATATTATCATATTATTTACACTATAATTAAACTGTTAACAGAAGCAGTATGTAAGATTTGGTTACAAATGAAAATGAAATGATATGGGGTTTAACGTCCTATACAGTGTGCTATGAGGGGACTTTTGCCCGGATAGCGAGACTACTGCCTACTCTTATATCAAAGTCCAACTGAAAAGGGATCTTTTACATGCACGCCGATCTGTACACAGGAACTCGGTTTTTCGTCCCGTTCGAACGGCTATATACGTTGTTCCTTGCCAGGCACTCTGTCCTACACCACTGATTAATTTTCTCGAATACGCGACCTCTAGGTTAGCGAGCAACCGTCTTACCCGCCCCGTCGCCATGGCTGCCGATTCGGATAAAAAAGCTGACCGTTCTTACTATAATAGTTTCATTTCCGGCGGGGTTCCCCCCTGTCAGTGAATCAGGACGGAAGTCCTGACAAGGTCAGCTGTCTAGTCGTTCGGATGGTACGAAAAACCAAGGTCCCGTGTACACATTGGCGTGCACGTAAAAGATCCCTTGACAGTAAGCTTTAGCTCTTATATAATGTACATTATCAATATTTCGTTTCAATGTATTTTCGTTCCATATTTTATCACGGTAATGACCGTACTTTTGGTGTAGTGGTAGGATTTACTGTCCAGATTTGGTCGAAGTTCTGCGGTTGCGCGTGCAGTTCGTCTTTTATTCACGGGTCATATCAATTACTGACGCTTTTAAGATGTCAAAATATTATGGACAATTTCGTCTCCCCCAAATTCTTAAACCTAACATTTCTGATCTCATTGTCACGCCAAAAGAAAAGACCAAGAGCGACTTTGAAACTACAGAAGAGATTAAAACGTTTAGGCTCACAAGAGAAAAATTCTGGATTGACAAATTGAAAACAACAGCCCCCCTAGGTTTGAATATTCATACGGCTAGCGCAATAGCCCCTTTTGTAGTTCCATTTAGCGCAACAGCAGCAAATGCATCCAAAATCATCAGAAAATCACCCGAAAATCTTCACACAGAAACTTATAATTGCATATTCTAAAAATAAAAATCTGAACGACATCCTAGTGCACAGTAAATTAAATTAAATAAGACCAGCCTCCACCCTAACCGTTAGTAAATAAAATCAACTAGATATAAGAATTCCTAGCCCTACACCAGTTATGTGGAATAAACACATTTTTATAAAATCCAATTCGTAGTAGGAAACACACTAATGTAGCTCTCCCCCGAGAGCCTCAAATTTATTCTTTTCTCTTCAGAAACAAAAACACCAGAATACCAGAAGCACCATCCAAGGAAGACCATCAGCGTCACCAACACCAAAAACAGTGAAATCATCTTTGTAGATAAATTTAATGTATTGTATGTATTTTGAATAAAACTAGGAAATACCACAAACTAATTTTCCATCGTCCTACGTCAGTGCTTATGTGGAGACTTAACCTCTCCCCCAAATTCTTAAACCTAACGCACAATCCACAAGCAGCAAATTCCCTTTATTTTATCTAGTTTTTAACTATTATAGTGAGAACTGCCAGCTCTTTACCTAATCTCCCATAACGTATCTTTAATTTTATAAGGAGATAAAGAACACGTTGCAGGTGTTTTGTTCATTAAGATAAACTGTTTATTTGCATAAAATTACATTACTTATCACTATGAAAATATAACCAGAATAGCATCCGCAACCTTGCAGTATAGAAATGAATTCATCGCTGTGAAAAACGAGCTGGTATAACCAACACTATCTGACTCCAGTTTGAGTCCATTCGTGTGCCAAATGTTCTACAGAATGGAGAGAGAGAGAGAGAGAGAGAGAGAGACCTGGGGTTTAACGCCCACTCAACACAAACTAGGTCATTTCGGGACTAACACATGATTCAATTTTATTTCAATAATTCGCTTGTACGTAGGGGTCTTTAGCAGTAGGAGGAAACCGGAGGACCCAGAGAAAACCCACGAGGATTGACAGGCGACCTTACTCCTTGTCACGTACAAACGGGGAATCTAAACCACGCCAGTTGACCCAATGACAGACCTTATGATACAACGCACACGTGCTAACCATTCGGCCATCTAACCCCCCAGCTACAAATACGCCATTCAGTTCAAGGGTTGAAACATTGTATTTTGATGATTTTATTTGAAAGATACTTTAAACATTAATTTCCAAATTTTTATATTAGGAATAATATCTGTGAATATTTCTGGCCAATTAAGACCAGAAATAGTCAATGTCAGTGTCATGGTTATCTACAAATTGTGAGAGAAACAAAATATTAAACGCCATTTAAAGATACATTATGTAAGATTTAGATAAAGACCTGGCAGTTCTCACTATAATAGTTAAAAACTAGATAATGTAAAGAGAATTTGCTGAAAATGTCAGTCAAATCGATCCACTCCGAACCGAGCATTTAGAGATTGAATTTTAGGCCTAGATCCGATCATCATTACTAAAGTCGTTACGGTAAAAAACACAGTCTCGATTATACAGTTTCAATAAGTGTTGAGCAGCAGATCAGATTCCAATCCAGGAAAATACCGCAGGCTAGCGATGACAATGACAGTTGATTATGGTCTTGTTTTGTTAATAAATGTGTAATTAATAGTTTTATAAAACAATAGGTAGATTTAGCTCTTGCATTATGTATGTTTAAGCATCGTAGACGAGTGTAATAAACAAACATCACATTTCACTGTGTACAGACACAAAACAAAACAGCAACAAGAAAAACAAGACTCTATCATGTATTTGTGTGTTCTGATAAATTCGTTAACATTCCACTGCTCGGTAATATCTTAATAATGTATTATTAACGCTATATTCACAATTATCTGTTAATAAGATGCAATCGTCTCGTATGACAAACAATACGCAAGAAACTGGTTAACGGACTTCTGTACTCCCGTTCAGGATGGAGTCTAACCATGAAACTATTCCATTGTTTTTTTCTGACAACTAGTTTCATTATGTATAACAATCGCTGTTCAACTAAATCGGGTCGATTTCGATTTGCCAGTTTTTACGTATTTTTGAAAAAGGTTTCGAAGTGTTTGGTACTAAGACGACCTGAAGATACGTTTTAAATGTTCCTTTTATTAATTAGAACAGGTTTCGCTTTAGTTTTTATATTTTACGCTGACATTTTATTACTCTAAAACTTCCTAGTGCAAAAACGGAAAATTTGACCTCCCTGGTCACGAAGAACAAACGTGAATTTAGCAAGTTTACATTTTTATTGAGTGATTACTTTCGATCATCATCTTCACATTCACTTTCAGTGCAAATTACCTCATTTGACCTGTGACCCCGAATATCTCGAAAACGACCCAACGGCGGACTGATTAACACACGGCATCGTATTCTACGCAAAAGTTTACTCTAACATAG